CAGCGGGCAGATGGTTAGAATAAGCTAAGGACGATGTTCGGATGTAAATGGGAGATATCGACTTTGTTATACCATGAATTATGAGTATTTTAAGTTGGATTGTGCGGGGAGTTAGGGGACCTCGTGTATTCTCCCCGTTGCAGAGTTGCAAAGACTCATCAATGAAATTTTCCCAACCTGGATTTTCATTATGGAGAGAGACTAACGTTCAAGGAGCAAAGGCAAATTGATTTTGGAGATTTATTGACTTTTATGATAATCCAATTTTATCGATTTATAAACAGATGAGTATCGTGACAACTCGCATAGAGCTCCCTAGTTGCCTCCTTTGCTCGTGGGGGATTTCAATGAAATACTTTTTATCTTAGAAAACGAGGATGGCATCACAACTATTCGTCCATCAATGCATTGTTTCCAAAATAAATCTCTAAGAATATGATCTCATAGACATAGGATCAGTTAGACTTAGTTTCACTTGGAAAATCATGTCGAGATGAATTGGTGTAATTTCAAAAAGACTGGAAAAATGAGCGTCTTATCCTTCTTAAAGAGTCATTTACAGTCGACAAGCCATAATCATGAGAAGATCTTTGAATCAGACGAACGAGTTATCGTCCAAGAGCTCTATCCACATTTTAACAGCGCACAATGGCAGCAACGATTTTTCACATTGGAATCACTATGGACGAGGGAAGCAGGGTGCAATAAACTATTGCTAATTCTTAGGTTTCAATCGATACATGATAAACTACGGACTTCAACATCGAGACACCTGGTTGGACAAGAAAATAGTGGTGGGTCTCTTCCAGAGTAAATACAGAATACTCTGGTTGAAATAAATAAAATATTCGAAGGTGGTATATCAGGCCATCTAGTTGGATACTTTCGAGAGCTTGAAAAGCATCTGAATGGACTATATCAATGAAAAGAGGATTGTTGGACACAATGATTTGTACTACAATATAGATAAAAAATTAGTACAAGTGTATAGCTTATGAATTCTACCAATGAAATAAGGAAAAACAATGAGTTACATTTAGTCCCTGTTTGAGTCACATTATTTTTTTCATTCTCATTTTTCTACTCATTTTTAACCACACATTTTTCAATAAAATAATATTTTTCATCATATCAATAACTTTCCTTTCTTTTTCAACAACATATTCCTCATCACATCAAACAAAAAAATGCATTCTTAGACTCAAAATGTGTACCAAACAGGGGTTTAGACTAGATTATCTTTTAGATATTTCTTTCATAAGTAATAATAAGTGGCAAGAGAAATTTTTTATAAATTAATAAGTGCTCCAATGTGTCACAAGTGGATTATAACATCTCGGATTTTTCAGGAATTTTTAGGAATTCTTTTTTTGATTTTTAGGAAAAATTATAAAAATCAGTGATTTTGTACTATTTTTAAAAATGAATATCTTCAGCTACTAAAAATGAGATTCGGCTATACGATGCGGCTAGGACGATTAACGACTACACTGCAAGGAAAACAAATTGCGCAGTTCATACGCGTTGTGGATAGGAATGATTGCATGACACCACAATTTAGTTTGATTATGAATGATAAGTGCTAATAGAATTTCACTATGTGGTTCGATGGGAGCTACATCTTATATTTTAAAGAAATTTCAAAATATTATGAGGGTCCATTCCATTTGAAAGTCATATAAGCATTGAGATGAGCTGTTGCTCAACTAGAGAAATGTAAATTATGTAATTCATTATTTTAATTATTTTTATATATGTAAAATATATAAGAAGCTCTAGAAATGCCTCCTTTGAAGTGGAGCGTCCTTGGGGGAATGAAGAATGCATGGTGCTCACCGACTCCCAAAAGGGATGTCGATACCCTTCAGTCTTTAGGGTGTCACACCCAAATCTCGAGAACTCGTTTTTGCTGTTTTAAGTTCGATTAACCCTTATGCTGATGTTGTTAAATGATATGGTCATAATTAACTTGTGAATATTAGAATTATGTATATGCGAGTTTAATACGACAAACTAAAGTAAATATCAACGATCCCAACTATGGTATAAAATATCGTACTATGATATTGTCTGTAATGTTCTGTGGTGATGTTACGTGACTTATTAATTGTGACAATGATATTCAACATGAGTATTTTGACAAAATATGCATTTGTTATACTTCTTATTTATGCTGGACATGTAGATTCTCTTTATGGCAACAACTCAAGATCCACAGTATGTCCATCATCACCTTCATAGCTCATGAGCTCCCATCAATGAATAAATCACAAATTAAGGGCGTGTTCGGTAGAGATTAAAATCAGATTAAAATTAAAAAATTAGGCGTTATTGTCGACTTTTATTAGACGAATGAGACTCAATAACGGCTATATTTTCATTTTAATTGGATTTTAATCTTTATCAAACAAGCACTAAGCGTACACAGCGTTCATGATAATAATTCTAGTCTCGTGGCCACCATGACACCTCCCAACACAGGTCGCATAAAGGTGTCACGGCATATCCTAACTCATTAACCTAATTCTCAAATTACCCTAAAAATTATTATAAATAAACATAACTGTATATGGGATGGGAACTGCTATGCACCATTCCCACAAAGTTGGGTGGTGATTTAGTAGTTAAGGAGACCTCGGCCATAATTTTTTTAAAATCTTCTAAATTTTAAACTAAAATGGGCACAAAAATCATTTTCCTTTAATTTCCTATATTTGATAAGCATGCACAAAGAGTAACATCAAAAATACCAGGATTTTTTCCAAAAAGCTTAAAAGTACCCGATGTGGTCACAAAAGATGCACCTCGAGCAAAATGACTCCCAGTGCTCCTTTTTTAATTATTGTGGGACCAATGTGCTTGAGGATCAATGTGTCCTCAAGATATCTCAAGGAGTTCCGATAACTCAACTTTACTTTATTCATCCTCGGACCTCGGGTGTGTGTCCTCGGGTATTTTTTCTTGATCGAGTTTCCTTCCATACTCGAGCACGAGTAGTTTCCACCTATTAAAGACTCTAACCATATCCAAATACCTCAATTCAAGAGTCATAGGTTCGGATGAAGTTTATCCTGGAAAATACTATAGTTAACATAGGATTACATATCTGATTGTAGTCCAACGCTTATCACAATTAGAATTTCTAAAAGTAAAGAAGTTAAGTCCTGATGAGATTGCACCACCTACCTCTATAAATGTGGAACAATGGATCATTATTCATGTACACTTTTACACATAATTTCGGTACTCAAACTTTTCGCATAATCTCTCTCTGACTTAAGTATCGGAGAGGCGATGGGGGCACACTTCGACGAATTTGTTTTAGGTACCGGAAGCTCACATTCGTGCTCATTCTAAATCGTCGAGCTCGGAATTCAACATGTGAGATTTTTGGTAGTATCAGTACCCATTTTAAAAATTTCAAAAATACCCAACTTTCAGTAAAAAATCAATGCCCCTATTTGAGCCCCATTGTTCAAGAATAGATTTTATATATAAAAAAAAAAATTTCTTTTTTTTTTTTAGGATATGTGATTAAAAAGTAAAGAAAAATTTTGAATTTACATGCAAAATTATTTTAGTTAGAATTGAGTTTGGAGAAAAGTGAATTTGTAAAAAGGGACTCAAGGAGCTATATTTTATAATTTTTAGAACTATGTTACTTTTAACATAAGTGTTATGGTATTCCGTAATATAAGATTTGTATTGTAACATATATGCTACCGTATTAACATGTGTCCACCGTAAATCTTAAAATCATGTAGTCCTCCAACACTGTTTTCCAATTTCCACAATCACTTACCTAATTTTGCATGTTATATGTAAGTTGTAACTTGTGTTATTTTTTTTTTTAACCGTAGAGTCTTATATGTTTGTAAGGAATTTTAATCCAATTAAAATTAAAAATATAGTCGCTATCGAGTCATGCTCATCCAATAAAAGTCAATAATAACGATTAATTTTTCGATTTTAATCCAATTTTAATCCCTCTCAAACAAGCTCTAATCGAGTCTTACACGGTAACATATGTGTTATTATTATTATTATTATTATTATTATACATTTTCTTATCTTACATAGTTTTCGACCATCACTATTGCCTTACACCACCGGCGCCCACACTTCCCACTGCCACCATTTGGGTTAGAAATAAGTGAAAAAAAAAATAAGTAGAATTACCATTCAAATAAAGAGTAACACGTGTTACCCTATTCTCTGTTGGATAACACGTGTGTTACCCCCATCCCAAACCTTAATGGATTGTTTGGAATGTTGGGGAAAGCTAATAAGTTTAAAAGTGGGGTTTAATTGATTAGGGTAAATTTTATTAGAGATTAATTAAAAAGGTAGTTATCTATTCGGGCATATTTAATTTTAGTTAAATAAATAAATGAGGACTATAGTGTAATTAAAAAAAAAACTAGAAAATGGGGCCAATTCCAAACTTGTAGGCAAAAGAAAAAAAAAATAAAAATAAAAAAATTACCTCAATCCTTACTAAGTTGCAATTTCAAAAATAAGGTGTTTCAATTTCAAATTTTTTTTTTTTCCTCTTCAATAATTAGATAATATTATTTTACGCTACCTCCATCCTCTCCCATATCCACCTTCAAACTTCCACCATAGGCGGCGGTTCTACAACCATTACCGCCAGCCATTCAACTCTTACCAATCCATAACACCGAAATCTGCACAATTCTTAGGATCCAAACTCCACGTTAGCCTCATCAAAGGCAGATATGGAGATCCACCTTTGAGGCTCCCATCGGTGTGTAGCTTGCAATTGAGATAGGTGGAGAGCAAAATCGAAGCACCTTTGAGCTTTCCATTGGTGCGCAACACGTGGCTAAGAGATGTTGAGAGAAATCGGAATGTCATGGAACGACGCGACCGTGATGGGAAAAATATTCTTAGAAACTTTCATCTTGTGAGTAGGACCTCCAACTCTCTCTTCTACCCAGGGCCGGTTTTGGGCCGAGGCGAGTGAGGCCGGCGGCTCGGGCCCAAAATCTGAGAGTGGCTCAATAAAAAAAAAAACATTTTTTATAAGCCATTTTTGGATAAAGGTCAAATAATGTTAAAATAAGAATGTAACATGAAAGTAAATTTAACGCTTACAGCTTTACATGCATGCAAAGGTCATTCAGTGGCAGAGAATCCGTCCTTTTGCCTAAGCTGGGGCCCACAACTGTTGAAAATGGTTTGGAAAAATTGGAAAAAAATTGGTGTCAAACGGTTGTTTGGAGAACTGAACTTATTACAAAAATTTGCTTCTTAAATTCATTAATGGCAAAAAATTTGATATCAACATTTAGCATCATAACCTTTCAAAAAAAAAAAACATTTAGCATCATAAAAATTATCAAATACACTTGAGTGATGAGAAAATCTATTACGTGATTCCAAAAAACTATTTGTATTCATGTCATAGTACAATATTTTTTGAAATTTATTAAATTTACTTTTTTCTTGGATTTTTTCATTGTTTTCTCTAACTCATATTTCTTTCCTTTTTTGGTGATTATTATATTTAATTTTCAATAAATATTTTTTTAAAAAATATATATTATGGCATTATTATTAATCCCATTTGATTTCAATTTTTTTTTTTTGCGTATCTAAATATTTGAATTTTTGTTATTATTTACCTTCTACAATTTGAGATTTTGAAATATGTTCCTAAATATTTTGTTAAATTTTTTTTGTATTGATTTTCTCTAGCTTCGTATCTCTTTCGTTTTTGGTGATTTTTTTTTTTTTTCACTTAAATCGGAATTTACAAATTGCATGGCATTTTTATTGACCTAATTTGATTTCAATATCATTCAGATGTGTGTAGACTTTTTTATACTATATGATTGATGTTTACATAAGCTTATAGTTATAATTATAATTGTTTTGTCATCTCTTAGTCATTAATTTTTAGTGGGTAATTAATTGATAAGTCTATTTTCACTCTATTACTCTTTTCCACCTGATTGTAGAGGTACAAGGGGGCAATTCGTCTTGCCCCAAGGCTCGAACATGACCACACATTTTTACGCAGGTTCAATCTCAAGTATGTTACGACTTGTAAAATTCACAGACTTTAGTTAAAGATCGCACTGGCCATAGGCGTGGCTACATAGGGATCAAAGGGAAAAAAAAAATTTCGGGGGGCCTAATTTATAAAGTTCGCCTCAGGCCCCAAAAATCACAGAACCGGCGCTGCTTCTACCCATTGCCGACTCCACCCAAGGGGCCACACTAGAATTTCATAATTTTTTCCATCAATTCCAAAAATCGATTCACTATTCTGGACCTATCTCTTCCAAATTGTCTTCCAAATTGGCAGTAGATGTATTTTCATAATTACTTATTGTATGTGTCTGGATAGTCATTTTTATTGGTCAAGATTTGTTGGGGTGGATTTGAGGTGGAAGCGGAGGTATAGGCGGTGGTAGTGGGTTGTGAATTTGAGGCGCCGACAATGGTGGAGTGGGTTGAGGTGGGAGAGATGAAGAGTTGACAAGTTAATTGAGTAATTGTTACTAGTTAAATTTGCTAATTTGTGATCAATAAATAAATTATAACCTATAAAAATGTTTGATTTGCGATTAAATTTGTAATTTTGACTCACAATTTGTGTCTTTGTGAGTGCGATTATCGTGTATGATTTGTTATTTGTATATGATCACGACCATAAAATTGTATGTTATTGTAATATTGACATGTTTACTTAATTGATGTGTCACAAAATTTTATTAGGTAATCACATTTGCGACCTCTTGATTTTTGAAATAATTCAACATGTTTTTAAATGTTGAAAGTGTATCTTGAAACTATGGTAATTGTGTATTTGTTTTTCCAAAAGGAAACAATACATAAGTCAGGACTTTACTATAGCCCAATTCAATTTTAAGAGAAAATGTTTAAAGTTTAAATCTCAATTGGTAATTAATAAATATTATATATAAAATAAAATCTAATAAATATTATAAAATAACTCTTTCAGTTACCATTCTAAACGGAACTCTTCAAAACAATACAGAGCAAAAAAAAAAAGCCACATAGACCTCTCAAAAGAAAATATTATCCATTATCACCACCAGAATCTAATCATTTAAAATCATTAAATTATTGAGGTCACAAATTGAAAGTTATGAAAAAATAAAACAAAAATAGAATATACAGAGAACTCGTCAAAGAATTAACTTCAATTTCTCACCGTCGAAATCTAGTCAGTGGTCAATTGAAATCCACGGGACATTTGAGGCCACAAATTGAAAATTGTCGACATTGTGTATTAGAAGATCGAACAAGGAGAGAATATACAGTGAGCTCACCGGAGCAAAATAACTTTGATTCTCACCGGCGAAATCTGATAAAACACAAATTGAAAGTTATCAAAAAAATAAAACAAAAATAGAATTTACAGAGAACTCGTTGGAAAATTAACTTCAATTTCTCACCGTTGAAATCTGGGCAGTGGTCAATTGAAACCCACTGGACAATTGAGGTCACAAATTGAAAATTGTCGACAATGTGTATCAGAAGATCGAACAAAGAGAGAATATACAGTGAGCTCACCGGAGCAAAATAACTTTGATTCTCACTGACGAAATCTGGTTAATCAAATTTGTGAGTAATTCTATGACATCCTATCAGTGTACAAAGACATGTGACATATGATTCATGACTAGTTAACTTTGGTATGTGACCTGTGACACTGATCTATGACTTATACAATATGACATTGACTTGTGGAGTGTGACCTATGTCATGCAAATATGATATGTGACCAGTTCTGTTTGACCTGTAACCCATGGACATTTATATGTGACGTATGTACGATGACCTATGACTTGGACATGTGACCTATCACCACCACTAAAACTATCATCAAATATCAACATAGTTTTGGCATATACTCTATGAACATGTAACCACCGCCAGCACCACCATAAAATTGCCTCAAACCCACCATAAAAATAACCCAAAACTTTGACTAAGCAGCAGGTTGAAGGAAAAGACTATCCAAAAATACCTTGAACACTTCATCTGCGCAGTGATAGCAATGACGACATCATCACCACTATGTAGAGCCGCGCGTAGTAACATATCACCAATGCGCGCGGTGGCTTCTCTGCACAACGATGCTGTACAGAGTGTGACATGATGTCGTTGTGCTGAGTCGCTGTTAATGTGCAAAGTCGCACGCATTGGCATTATTACCGCTGCATTGTGACGCCTTTTTTGTGAGCACCACCGTCTTTCAACGATTGGTCGGCTGTGTGAAGAGAAGGAACATGAGAGAGTGAAGGAAGAGGTGAGAGGAAGAGGAAGAGGAAGAGAAAATTATTAGGGTTTGAAGTTAAATTTGGTGGGGTGAATGGAATTGGGTGGGATGAGGTGAATATTTAGGTTAATTAAAATATTTACTATTTAATAATTAAAGTTTAAATACTTGATTTATGGATAAGTAAACTTTAAACCCGATTTTAGAATTGTACTCCTTAAAAATCGACTGTAGTGTAATTTCCACATAAAAAAATACTCTATGGAGGGTTGTATGTCATACAATTAAAATTTTGGAACAAGGATGCATTAAGAGAACATAAAACAAATGGTTATTAAAGAGACCTTGATGGATTAGTCCTACTTACAAGGGGGGTGTGGCGTGGTGGGGCAAGTGACCCACAACATTTCATTTTTTGATATTTATTATTATTATTTTTGAAAATGGTTTATTTCTTGAGAAGAAATAGAGAATCAAGATGAAGTGCACTAAACTTAATGAGTAATTTCATTTCTTAAGTAATCCAACATTTCTTGATTGAGTTTAAAAATTACTCAATAACTTGTTCAAAATGTAAGTTGAGATCAAGAGATCCACTTGTTAAGTAACTTTTACTTAATACTAGTCTGATTGAACGTGTAATACACGTTATTTTGGAATTTTTTATAAGAACTGTGAAAGTAATATTTGACCATCCATTTACTCTTTTAATCTAAATATGAAAGAAATGCAAGTTCCTGAAAATAAATTTTAATTATTCTATATGCATGTAAATAGTGAAATGCATATTTTAATATGAGTATTAGAATTACAACTAAATTTATAAATGAATATGAATGGCAAATACGACATGTGAATTAATGTGAATCTTAATTAATTTAGAATTAATACCAAGGAATATATACGTACCAATGAATGGTAAATCATTTATATTAAATGAATATAATAAAATTTTCAATTAAGTGAATTTGGATACTAAATTAACATACATTGACACGAATAATGAACTGAGTTCTTGAATGCGAAGTTCACTTGATGTGAATGTATATTTTTTTATTTCTTAACAACCACAATTTGATTCCAATTAGGCCACGATTCAAAATTTTGATCATTGACCATTTCTCTTTTTTGGGTCGATAGTCGTTGAGTTTTTAAATACTGGAATTAATAACATGGACGTGAATGTGAATGTGAATGTGAAATTCTAATTAATACTAATTAATTTAATGTTAATTAATTAAGAATGTTGATACTCGGGTCGATTTTTAAAATATTTGAATTAATAACATGGATGTGAATGCGAATGTGAATATGGAATTTCAATCAATATTAATTAATTGAGAATTAATTATAGTATTTATTACAGTTTGTAAACTAAATACATGTTGAAAAACTAAAAGTAGGGTATTATTGAAACAATATAATTACTGCAGAGTTATAATCGTCCAAAATATGATTCTCAGTTCCGATTCGACTCTCGATTCAAACTTTTGATCATTGACCATTTCTCTTTTTTGGGTCAATGGTCGTCGATTTTTTAAATACCGGAATTAATAATATGGCCATGGATGTGAATGTGAAATTCTAATTAATATTAATTAAATGAATGTTAATTAATTAAGAAGGTCGATAGCCGGGTCGATTTTTAAAATATTGGAATTAATAACATGGACATGGACGTGAAATGCAAATGTGAATATGAAATTTCAACTAATATTAATTAAATGGTTGTTAATGTTAATTAATTGAGAATTAATTATAGTGTTTATTACATTTTGTAAATTAAATACATGTTGAAAAATGAAAAATATGGTATTATTGAAATAATATAATTATTATAGGGTTATATTGTCTAAAAAATTATTCTCATTTGATGTGATATTTAATATATTATAGATATTGAGTACCATCTAACTTAATAAATTCGTTTTTAAGATATCTTTAAACAACTTAAATACGCCTACGTTTGTATATTGTCTTCTGTAACACCACCTATAGTTCAAAATGTTGGCTTCTTCGAAAATTCTAGATAATCTAGGTGTATATTTTCTTGCATTGCACTAAATTATTTTTCAATCCAATTAAAGTAGGAATGGCAACGAAGCGGGTATGAGACGGTTCAGTCATTCATACCCCCGTCCCGTTCGGTATTTTGTTACCTTATCCCATCCATATACTTGGTTAAAGTGAGACAGAGGCGGGATTAGGGTGAGGCGGGATGGCGTGTGCTGTTGTAGGCACCTAAAAGTAATACCTTAACATCTAAAATTAATGTAGTAGAGAAAGTAAGGGTCGATCCCAAGAAGAGTATGTAATTCAATATTTTATGTTTCGTACATTGATTTTAGGGGTTTTGTATGCAAACAATTGTAAATAGCGCAATTAATAACAATGAAAATTAAATTAANGAAAAATCATCAAATCCTAGTGTTTCACAAGTTAAAGGAATCAAACAATTACGGATTTGAAATTTAATTTAGCGGTAGATTGTAACGAATAACAAACTAGTAGGTCTCCTAGCAATTAAAAATTAACAATCATGAAAATAAGTGCAGAAGAATATTTAATACTAAAAAACATGAATTAAACTACGAAAAACCATTTAGATCTCACAATATGTGGTTTCGAAACTTCAATCTCCTTCGCCCAATTATAAAAGTTTAGTTACAATTCATGAATTTAAGAGAGAAATAATGAAGAATGGAGTTTTTTGAGGCCTCTTACGTTCTGTGTCGAGTTTGGTATTTAAATGATGCCAAAAAAATTGCATTTAATTGTTACCAAAATAAAAATAATGAAAATTTGATCTTTTCCCTTTTAGCTTTGAGGCACGCGCCTTGGGGGGTTTGGAAGCCTCAGACGAGGCATTTTTGATTTGGGGCGCGCGCCTCTTCTGCAAGCGAGGGCGTGCGCCTCGTCTAATTTTCGGCAGCTGAACAACTCTCAATTTTTATTATAACTTTCTCTCCCGATATCCGATTGAGGCGATTCAAGATGCGTTGGAAAGATAACTCAAAGGGATACAACTTTAATTCAGATATAATCTTCCAATTCGATTATTTTTCATGTCAAACACGGGTCTCAATATGAGGATGATAACGGGTACATAACTTTTTCGATTGGAAATTGATGTGTGATCATATTTTGACGATATGTAATCAATTTGATGTCTTCTTTCATCCAATTGACTCTTAACACTCTAAAATCTTCATCGTCAGGTTCCACATAACTTTTAAATATTTGCATTTCGGTCCCCAAACTTCGTTTTCTTTCCTTTTGACCCTTATTCACTTAATTCTTCCAAATTACGCCATATTCATAGAATTGCCACCCAAATCAAAATATGAATGTAATGAGTACATTTTGACACTGGTTAATCGTACGAGCACATAAAATAAGGAAGGAAAAATTTGCATTTTACATTCCTATCACGAGGCAAGTCCCCTGCACCATTTATCGCCCTATTTATTTTTTATTTTTATTTATTTTGTTTTTTACTTTCATTTTTTAATATCTTTACTTAATAAATATTATTATTTTTTTACGAATTTGTTAAAAATAATTTATGTTCTCTTTAAAAATATTATAAATCTATTATTTTTGTATGAACAAAAACATAAATTTGAAATTAACTTTAAACGGGACATGTAGCAAGGCGGAGACTATTTCCCGTACCCGCCCCATACCAACTTCGAGACAATGACCATCGCCCCGTCCCCGTCCCGTTTACCCGATTAGATGGGTAATACCCTCCCCATTTGAGACGGGGTCTATCAGTTGAATAAAAAAATTTTTGCCATCCTTAAATCAAAGATTCTATTAGAGGCTAGAGGTTTCTTGCTCGGAGAATTTCTAGATTAACTTAGTTGAATTGTCATGGTTTTAGTATGATATTCTTGCAAAACAATCGATTGGAGAATCAGATCTGCCTACAAATTTGTAAAGCATACATACCATTAGGGTCCTTTTGATTACAAAGGTGAAAAATTGGTGGAAAAAAAATATTTTACAGGGAATTGATTCTAGAAAATATTTTACTGTGAATTGTAATTAATTGTGTTCGATTGATATAATTTTTCATGAAAAATGTTGAAAGTTTGGTATCCGTTTGACGTCGTTTTTTATAAAAATTGTCCATTAAAGTGATAATTTTTCTACCATTAGGTCTAGAATTTGTTCCAATTGGCAAAAAAAATGAAAAAAAATTATCATACCGAATACTATTCGTTTGACTTTGTTTTGCATGAAAATTGTCAATAAAAGTAATAATTTTTTTTATCATTGTGTCTAGAATTTTTCCCAATTGCAAAGAAAAAAAACTGGAACCCACCTAAAAGGTGGGAAAACAATTTCTTCAATTTCATGGAAAATGTGCACGTGTGGATGTAAGAGGGAAAAAATTTTCCATGAAAAATTTGTACTATCAAACGAGCCAAAAACTAGAAAATGGAAAAAAAATTTCCTACTTCCATGGAAAATGAGGGTTATCAAATGGACCCTTATTAAAAATACCACTTTCATCATCCATCCATTTATAAAGGGAAAACTTTAATCATCCGCTCTACACAATTCATGTTGTTTTAGTTCAAACTCAAAATAGTTCTGTTACGTATTCTACTCTACATAATTCATATTGATGCCTTAGTTCATACTCAAGATAACTCTGTTATGTATTCACCAAAAAATTGATCTGTGTTATAGATTAGTGACTAAACAAGAAAAAAGAAACAAGAGAAGCCAATCAACTTAAGTTATTTTATTTTTAAAAATTGAAAGTAACCGGTATCTAACGAAAGTAACTTCTAATTTCAAATTATTATTTTCTTTGGCCAAAATTAAAAGTGGTAGAGAAAATGAGTTTGGATTTCAATTTTGTTTCGTTGTATTAAATTGATTTGAAATTGGTTTGGAATTATTTATGTTTTTCATAACTTTTTAGCAGATTTGATCGCGCCCCTCTAACTCGAAAGTCTGCGTCCGTCACTGCCTACTTAAAATAGTTTTGTCTCAATTGCACTCACTTCTGTGCTTGGAGAATGCTTGCCCGTTATTGATCCTTTAACTCTAGTTTTCCTAGTAGGAACGTCTTTGTTTCCTATCCTCCTGCTAAAGTAGGTATGGCTTATTGCAGGTGTTGAATAAACAAAAAGTGGCACATGTTAAAAACTACAGCCAAAGAAGAAAAACCACTCTTGAAGGTAATCGTAGCCTTGCTTCAATACGCCACCCCTGGAAATAGATCATCACTAGTTCATTGATTTATGATATTATTGCAGCAAAACATCAGTAAAAAAGAAGCAGTCAGTCATCATACCAACACTTTTCAATTGCCTGATATTACCAACATTTTAATTTAATCACTTTAGCTAATGTAACAGCAATTAGTGTTGCAGCGTGCTATTGAGGAAGTGTCCGTTTAGTCTGAAAAAGTCTTATGTAGAAAGTTCCATGAACGATGCAACAGTATTTATACAATGCAAGAAAACGGTCATAGATAAAAAAGGGTTTCGAACAACAGTACACGGACTTGGTGAAATAAGTGTGTCTAATTTACGAATCCCCCAAATTTCAGAAGGAAAAAGAAATGTTAAAAGGCATTGCCGTGCTTCTATGGAAAGAATAAGGATAAGAATCTAAAGAGCAATGATCAGGCACGAGACAAGAATCAATTCAGCACCATAAAATAGCAATTATAATTAGGACCTGTTAGGGAGTTTCGACATATTATTTATGAGCGTTTTTTAAATTACCGATTTTGAGCATTTTTTAATGTACCAATTTTGAGTGGTTTTTAATCGCGGTCTTCAAAACTGTCCAATCTGGGGAGTTTATTATTCACCGGTTCTAAAAATCATCCAAAAAAATAAGATTTCACTAGAAAAGAACACACACAGATCTACTATTGATAATTTTAATCTTTCATCTACATTCCTGCATATAAAAGCATCTAAACTTGAACTGGATTTCAGGTGGAGAAAACAATATCAGATCGAAAGCAAGTAATATTTATTAAGTATGATTTTTAGTTGATTCATCTTCATCCTATAGACCTAAAATCTAAATGGTTTAACCATGCCATCTATCCCAGAAGCCAAAACAAAGATTTACAAGAATCTTAGTTTACTTCCACTAAACAGTCGCAAATTTTACTCATTTTGTCCAGGCTTACTTCCAGCCAACAAATGCAACAAACAAGAAAATAGCAAATTCAACTCAACTCACCACACTGGAGTATAACACTTGTTTCTAGGGGACAATTCAGCCACAACTTTTATCAAACATGTTAATGGCAAATGAAGTTCTAAAAAAAAAAATCACATTTCATTGAAACCACAGACATCTATTGAATTTTATCAGTACAGACTTCTATTGAAGTTCTAAAAAAACTCAGTTTTCATTGAAACTACACAAATTCAGTCATAGAAAATCGAGGGAAATACAGTATATTAACAGAATTTGTACCTTAAATTGATTTTGAGAAAGGCTGAATAGAGAATTGATGGTGAAAAAACCAGAAAATGAAGAACTGAAGAAGAGGAAGACCTTTGGAACGACTGATTTTAATGTATAGGAATTTTTCTTTTTGTACAAGTTAGGATAGATTTAGTCATTATTATTTTAAAGTGGGTAAAATTGGAAAAGAATTTGAGAAACAGTCCAATCCCGTCAATTTGGTGGGTTGAGAAATATGGCCTGCAGTGATTTTGCATGTTTTTAAACCACCAAAAAACGGTGCCCCTAAAATCTAACAAGCATCGGTTTTTCCATCCAACCCCTCATAAACGGTACCTCCCAAAACCGGTGAAATAAAAAAACTCTCAAGCAGGCCCTTAGATCCGCAATCATAAACTTCAAAATTAGCATATAAATCAATGGCAATTTCACGTGTACCCTCTAGAGTAAAATATTAATTAGCAATTATATTTATGCATGAACGCTGAACATATAAATGTAGTCACCATGACAGAACAAGTTTCCTGCACCAAGTTTTGTGTTTTGGATTAGTTCAACACGACTAACATACGACAATCACAAAACAATGGTTTGAAAAAGAATGCATCAAACTGTGTTGAAAAAAATACTATTATGAGCCAAAATTGCTTTAGATTCTGCAGGAAAGCTGCATGACAATCTTGTATATTGAATGCAAGATTCTGAAATAAATATACACACACAGATAACATCTAGTTTCGTTGACAAGGGAAGAAAGAAAGACTTTTCACTATGTTAATGAATGTGGTAAACATACAAGATAGAAGCCGCAAATATCTGCTCTTCATGACCAAAAAGTTGAAATAAAACCTCAATCCATATGCCCAAAAAGAAGCCTTGCAAGCAAGCAAGCAAGCAAGCAAACAGGCTTGGTGTGTGCATGAGTAGAAGTTTCAAAAATGATATTGATAACTAGTTTGCCTAAGAATCATTGCAGTATCTATCTCTATCTGCTCAACGGTTCAAGCTGAATTTCCATTCTTTCTGAAGAGAGCGCTTCTTTCTCTGCCATAGTCCGACTAGGTCTCAAGAGATCAATATCCTCCTCCTCACCATCACCCAGCACCCAATCGCTTCTTCCAGATATTCTATCCCGCCTTATTCTTTTCTTCTCACGGTATTCTAAATACATTACTGTTAATGCGCCTACTAAGAACCAAATTATTAAAGCCCAAATAAGCCCGTGCGTGTTTTCATCCCCATATTCGTCTCCCAAATGTTTCAATCCAGTAATAAGACCAGCACAGCCAATAATGATGGCACATCTGCCAGTTATAACATGGATATACTCCCAAATAAGCCTCCTCGACAAAACCTGCTCTGCATTAGCAGGCTTTTTAGGTCTCAGATATGCGTTCACTGGTTGTGCAATTGCTAATATTATTGCCAACATTCCAAATTTAGCATGCAATGATTGGAAAGTGAAACCCCGAAGCTCAGCAACAGCAAAAAGGAAACCAAGAAAAATAATTACTAATCCTGAGTATTGTAGGTTGGCATGAATCCGAAACCACCCATCACCAACATGCTTTAGGTATCTAGCTGCCAAAATTCCACCAGGAAGCAGTATACCCCAGGCAAGAAACATCATAAATCCATGCACAGCTAATACTGGACGCAAGTCCTCCTCTGCCTCTGCAGAACCACGCATAAGCAGTACACTTACTGGTCTCTTGCTTGTGACTGAATGCATGTTTCTCACGCTTAAATGGTCATCAGACCATTGAGCACCCATAGCCCAGACAACTTTCAGCGGAGTTGTAGGGTCAATAATATTGTTGCATTCTGGCCTTTCGTTAAGCTTGCATGACGGTTTCAAAGGCCGAGTGAACTCCATTGTGATGATGCCATTTTCAGACCTGCATCTCACATATGTCATATTCTCCCTTGTTGGACGTAAGCTTGAAGGTTCCCTTCCATCTATCCAATATGTGCTCACCCTCCCTCTCCCATTGTCGCCAATCCAACCCACATAAGCAAAGCTGTTTAACATTCCACGACCAAAGCCGATAGCCAAATAACCACTTTTTTTCTCGCCCCGAGCGGCAATAGATATTGAGTTCTCTGACAGTGTCCAAAATAGCATAACTTGCTGATCATCCAAAGAAACGCTGTTATTATACATATCTGGCAAACCTCCATCAACCACTTGAACTTTCCAGCCCATCTTTGGTGTATAAAGAGACTGATAGTAAACCAGATCCGGTGTGTTCCGATCAGGTGCCCAAACCAATTCAGTAGGACTGGCTTGAACTCCTTCTGCTTCTGGTCCTCCAAAATAAATAGTCTCAGACATATTTCGTGAAGTTGCGTTTCCACCAACCGGATCAGAAGTAACATAGAATGCCACGTCATGCCCAGCTTGTATTGAAAACTTCACTGGCACACCTCTCTCTACCCTAAGAACAGGAGCCTCTTTCTTGTTAATATAAAGAACTTTTGAAGGATTTGGGGGATTTGGATAATGCAATGCCGGACCTGTCACCACAACAAGTGGCTCCTTTTTATCTGCAATGACGAGATCTTGATCCTCTTTGTCTTCAGCATCCAATGGTCCCAAGCAATCATTTATATGTTTTGAAATGTTCAGAGTCAAGTAACCAAAGCTACCACCATGATTTTGAGGAAGATAAAAAGGGCGTAGACTATCTGGTGGTTTAATCAACCCCAAAGCCCAAATCACAGTCATATTGCCCTTAGGGTCAACCGCCGTATCATACTTCTTATCAACGGACTTCAAACGTCTCTTATACCTGATAAAGGACACCCCGTCCTTCCTGTGCCCATAAACCAACTTCGTATTGTTCTCCAATCCAATGGGATCAGAGCTTTCATACATAGTATCGGGACACACCCCCTGAACACTCCCATCCTGATTTATCATACACTCACTGTACTTAGTTATATAGAAGTCATCAGCAAATGGCATTCCATCCTCCTTAAACCCAGTGATCACCACATCACTGCCAACCATAAAATTAGCAGAAACATTGGGGTTCGCCCATCCAAATGCCATGTAATTCATAATCCCAATTGCACCCTCCAACCCAATATCAATCCCATCCTCCTCCTCCTTGAAAGTCCACCTGATCCTATAACCATCAGATAGAACTTTACAATTTTCAAACATGGTGGGTTGCTCATTTCTCATCAGACTAGTCCTCCCATTCACAGGCATTGGCGGTGGTGCATAATTTTCAGTCCCATTAGACAATTTTTTCAACAAAACGTGGCCAAAATCCGAAGCCGTGGGGATATCCCAAACTCCAAGGACTTTAATCTTATCCCACTTTACGTTTTTGCGCAAATTAACCAGAAAGCTACCATTTTTATAGGTCTGGTCCAAAATCTGGTCAGAAACGACAAAACCCTTGGTCAGGTTTTGGAAATCTTCCCCATCAGCGCCCCACCAATGCACGTTGGAGCCGGAAAGCATGTCAAACTGGGTGATCCTGAAGGAACAGTCGTCAATTACGGATATTAGGCCGCGCAGCTGGTGTTGTACCATAACGAATTCGGAAGTGAAGTTGAGGAGAGTTGTATTGGTCCGAGGGCAATATGAATCCGAAACATGAATGAAATGAATAAAGAACCATAAAGGGCCTATGAGGAAGCACCTCAATGGGGCCATGGCGAGAGATCCGAGTTAACGGATCTGCGTTTGGTTTGGATCTTTACACAGTAAGGTGAAATATATGTATCTAAGTGTTGTATATTTACATAGAGGGAGAAATTGGTGAGGGAGAAATACCAACCTGAGATGTTGAAACAGGGCTTTGTATGAATGACGAAATTACTAGGAGAAGAAGGTGAAGGTGAATGAATTGCCGCGAAGTTGACAAACCAGAAGGAGAGAGAATCAGTGGAGGGTGTTTCGCGATTTGTAGTTTATGGCTCTGTTGGGGCCGCCGGGCTGAACCGGCACCTGTTTGTACTTCGTAGTGCTAAAATTCAATGGCACATTCTATCGATCTTATTTTTCAAATGCCATTTTAACTCTTGTTTCGGTGGGAATTAAGATTTAGGCACCGTTTGGTAACCACTGGTCCTCCAAAATAAATAGTCTCGGACATATTTCTTAAAGTCGCATTTCCACCAAGCGGATCAGAAGTAACATAGAATGCCACGTCATGCCCGGCTTGTATAGAAAACTTTACCGGCACACCTCTCTCTACCCTAAGAACAGGAGCCTCTTTCTTGTTAATGTAAAGAACTTTTGAAGGATTTGGGGGATTTGGATAATGCAATGCCGGACCTGTCACTACAACAAGTGGTTCCTTTTTATCTGCAATGACGAGATCTTGATCCTCCTTGTTTTCAGCATCCAATGGGCCCAAGCAATCATTTACATGCTTTGAAATGTTCAGAGTCAAGTAACTAAAGCTCCCACCATGATTTTGAGGAAGATAAAAAGGGCGTAGACTATCAGGAGGTCTAATAAACCCCAAAGCCCAAATCACAGTCATGTTGCCCTTAGGGTCAACCGATACATCATACTTCTTATCAACAGATCTCAACAGTCTCTTATACCTGATAAAGGACACACCGTCCTTCCTGTGCCCATAAACCAACTTTGTATTATTCACCAGCCCAATGAGATCAGAGCTTTCATACATACTATCGGGACACACACCCTGCACACTCCCATCCTGATTTATCATACACTCACTGTACTTAGTTATATAGAAGTCATCAGCAAATGGCATTCCATCCTCCTTAAACCCTGTGATCACCACATCACCGCCAACCATAAAATTTGCAGTAACATTGGGGTTTGCCCATCCAAATGCCATGTAATTCTGAATCCCAATTGCACCCTCCAACCCAATATCAATCCTATTCTCCTCCTCCTTTAAAGTCCACCTAATCCTGAAACCATCAGATAGAACTTTACAATTTTCAAACATGGTGGGTTGCTCATTTCCCATCAGACTAGTGCTCCCATTCACAGGCATTGGCAATGGCGCAGAATTTTCAGTTCCATTAGACAAATTTCTTAACAAAACATGACCAAAATCCGAAGCCGTGGGGGTATCCCAAACTGCAAGGACTTTAATTTTATCCCACGTTATGTTTTTGCGCATATTAACCAGAAAGCTATCATTTTTATAGGTCTGATTCAAAATTTGGTCAGAAACGACAAAACCCTTGGTCAGGTTTTGGAAATCATCCCCATCAGCACCCCACCAATGCACGTCGGAGCCTGAAAGCATGTCAAACTGGGTGATCCTAAAGGAACAGTCGTCAATTACAGATAGTACACCGCGCAGCTGATGTTGTACCATAACGAATTCAGAAGTGAAGTTGAGGAGAGTTGTGTTGGTCCGAGGGCAATATGAATACGAGAAATAAATAATATGAATAAAGTAGCATAAATAGCTGATGAGGAAGCGCCTAAATAGGGCCATGGCGAGAGATCCGATTAAACGGATCTGCTTTTTGTTTGGATCCTTACACAGTAGGTGATATATACGTATCTACGTGTTATACGTATATATTTAGAATTACATACAGGGAGAAATTAGTGGGAGGAAGGAAGTGAAATACCAACCTGGGAGGTAGAAACAGGGCGTTGTATGAATGACGAAATTACTAGGAGAAGAAGGTGAACCCGCGAAGGAGAATGAATTGCTGGGAAGTTGACAAACCAGAAGGAGAGAGAAACAGAGGAAGGGTTTTTTTGGCTTCGTTGGGTACAGACTTGTTTATTCTTTTGTTTTGGTTTCAATCTTATTTTCTCAAATGCTAGTCTTTTATTTCCCCAGATTATACGGTTTACGGGTTATTATTTTCCGGTCTAAATGGACCGATCTATTTTAAGTTTTATATTTTTGTTTTTTTTTATTATTTTCTATTGCACTTCCAAAAAAATGTTCTTTTTTCATATAAATAGTCTGAAAATGTATCAATTTTATTGAAATAATTTCTTCAAATTCATGCAGGAGAATTATTATTCTACAGTCTATAATTAGTCATTAAGAGTTCGAGCTAAAATTATCATTGTTCTGAAACCTTGATTGTTAACATTATTTTCATTTTCACGTATCATTCACTCATTAATTCGATATTTATCTTGTATGTTTATTTTAAACTCTCTCAGTGTCGATAATTTTGTTATTATCACTTATGTTTGTATCGTAGCATTTATATGATCCTTTTATTGTCATTACATATTTTCATCATCTCATAATACTATCTTAGTTGAATGACGATTCACATTGTGCACGATCACGTGTGAGGCCGTCCAAGCCTAAATAAATTTTTTGTGTACTCCTTTTTCAATTTTGTGATCTCAAGATTCTCTCATGTGAAGAAAAGTGTTGTTTTTCACGTGCTCAAGTGAAGAGAGTTTT